TGGGGTGGAGCTGCCATGGGAGGGGGCACCTCTCCCTGCCCCATTCTGCATCAAGTATGGTCATCCTGGTCCGTTGGAAGGGCTGATGGTGGTGATCAGGTCCCCGTGGGGGTGGTGGAGTGTCCGGGGGTTTGGCTTGGGCTGGGTGGGTCCTTCCCTTGGCCCTGCTCCACATGTGGGGTGAGGCTGCTGCCCTGGAGTGGCCTCCCCCTGCCTCCAGAGCTCTGCTGTCTGAGAGGAGAGGGGGCCTCTGGGCCTTCTGAGCCTATTTGCCCGAGGAGGACTTGGCGGGGCTCATCTCCCCAGCCCCGTCCTCATTTCCCAACTCCTCTGGGATGGGCTTGAGCCCCTCCTCCAGGGGCTCCCCAGTCTCCTGGTCTCCTGCCTGGGCGAGGCCCTCTGGCTCACAGCCAGGACCTCCCGGGCCCTCCCTGGAAGCGCTGCCCATCTGGGCAGGGGTAGGGCCCCCAGGGGCCTCTGAGGGTCTTGCCTGACCTAGGCCCGCAAGGACAGCGTCATGATCGTCACTGTCCTCCTCCTCAGACTCCCGCTCTTCCTGCTCCTTCTCCTCCACCTTGTCATCCTCCGCCTTAGCACCGACTCTGGCATCAGCCTGGGCATTGGCCCGGGCACCAGCCCCTTCCTCTGCCTGGGCTCTCTCGTTCCTGGCTAGACTGGCCTCCCAGGCCTCAGACTCCCGAACAAGCCCCAGCATCTCTAGGAAACTTGGAGACCTCCCAACCATTCTCAACTTCCTCAGCGCTTCATCCAGCGGCTCAATAAGGTTGGCCCTGGCGAGCACCTGCCTCAGGCGTACATGGTCAGCTGAGGCTCTGGCCAGGGCCCCCTTCTCAATGGCTTTCTGCAGCAAAACTTCCAGCCGCAACACGAAAGCAGAGAGCCGCTCGCCTGACTCTTGCTGAGCTGTCAAACACTTCACCCGGATGGTTGCCTGCGACTCGTTGTCTCCAAACACCTGGATCAGGGCCGCCAGGCAGTCCTGAGCCGTCCTGGCAGGGTTCTCTGCCAGGAGCCCGTGCACGAGCTGCAGGGCCGTCCCTCGAAGGCCTTCCATCAGCCGCCTCCTCTTCTCCCTTTCTGAGACCCCCTGCCATACATGTAGCATGTCTGTGGTGTGGTCCAGCCAGGCCTCAAAGGACTCCTCCCCCGGGGCGGGCTGATCCCTCCCAGAAAACACGCCCAGGCGCTGGTACCGCATGGTGTCCACCCAGGGCTGGACTGCCTGACTGACCGATCTGAGCCAGCACACCCGGCGCAGTCCCAGCCCCAGGGCCCCAGCCACACTCTCCACCGTCTGCCCCTGTTGCTCCAGGAAGTGGAACACGCGACTGAGAAACTCCTCGCCTGAGCAACGGGGCACAAAGACTACGTTCCAGGGACCCCCGGTGCCCGGGATTTCCCTGGGGACCAAAGCATAGTTAACTTCCCGGTCAAGCTCGACCAGGGCTGCAGTGGCATTATCCTCCTCTCGAAACACTTTGCCCAGCACGGTGAAGTGACCCATGGGCCACAGGGCGGCCTCCAGAGACTCTTGGAGTTCGGCTTCATCACAGTCCTCCGGGATGCCCAGAATGAGCAGACCCCTTCGAGCGCTGATGCCCATCCACCTGCACCAGTCCCGCAGCATCGTCACCGCCATCGCGTGCAATTTCCGCCGGCGCGGGGTTAATATCAGCCGTAGGAAACGGTTCCCGGCGCGGACCAGGGTGACACCGGGCAGGGTGGAGG